ATGATCAAATAAGAAAAGTTATTTTTGCATTGAAATATAGCGTCATAATATTATTTACGCTAAACTTTAGAGAAACGTGTACCACGCTAAAAGGTGCTTGCGGGGAAATGGTAAATTTCTGTTTCCATGACGTGAACATTCAGTGTATGTTGCATAACAGTACAGTAAGTTGTAAAGTGTTGAACTACCTAAGAAAGGAGACCTGTCGCAGTGTGGAAATTGGAGAGGCATCATGCTTTTGTCCATTGCCAGTAAGATCCTAACAAGAATAATGTTAGAAAGAATGAAAGGAGCATTGGACAAGAAGCTGAGATCAGAACAAGCAGAGTTCCACCAGGACAGATCATTATCATTGAGCAGTCCATTGAATGGCAGTCCCCTCTTTACTCAATCTTCGTTGACTTTGAGAAGGCCTTTGACAGTGTGGATAGGTCAACCATTTGGACATTGATAAGGCATTATGAAATTCCATCAAAGTTCATAAGTATCATCAAGAATCTGTATGACGATGCCACCTGTCATATCATCCATAATGGGAAGCATCACAGATCCTTTCAATGTGGAAACAGGAGTAAGGCAGGGCTGCATCCTTTCATCTACCATATTTCTGATAGCCATTGACTGGACCATGCAGAGAACAACAAAGAGCAGTAAAAATGGAATCCAGTGGACCTGCACAAAACAGCTTGAGGACCTGGATTTTGCAGATAACATTGAACTGCTCTCGCACAAGCTACAAGACGCTCAAAAAAAACTTTCAAGATTGGCATCAGAAGCCCAAAAGACTGGCCTTGAAATAAATATGAAGAAAACCGAGGTGTTGAGAATTAACAACAAACGAGAGACACCAATTCAGTTAATTGGGAAGAACATCAAAGAAACTGACAGCTTCACCTATCTTGGGAGTATTGAAAACAAGGATGGTGGAGCAGATGATGACGTCAAAAGCAGAATTAATAAGGCAAGGCATGCTTTCCATACCCTCAGACAAATCTGGAATTCTAAAGCTCTCTCCATCAACAGCAAAATCAGGATTTTTAACACAAATGTTAAAGCAGTTCTCTTGTATGGTTCCGAGACCTGGAAAGTTACTAAAACAATAAACAGCAAATTACTGTCTTTTATCAACAAATGTCTCCGCTATATCCTTAACATCAGATGGCCTGACACCATATCAAACAACAGCCTATGGGAGAGAACCAACCAAAATCCTATAGATATTGACATCAAGAAAAGAAAATGGGGCTGGGTAGGACACACCTTACGCAAACCCTCAAACAACATCACTGAACAAGCTCTGGATTGGAATCCACAAGGAAAGAGGAGGTTTGGGAGATCAAGGCAAACCTGCAGGAGATCTATAGAAAAGGATGCAAAAGAAGCTGGATTTACCTGGACCCAACTAAAAAGGATAGCCCAAAACAGAGTCCGATGGCGCGGTGTGGTTGTGGCCCTATGCTCCCCAATGAGTGAACAGGAATAAGTCAAGTAAGTCAAGTCAAACAGATTCTTGTAGAACCGTATATAAGTACAAGTCAAAAGTGCATGAAAGTTGTACTGGTAAAGACTTAGATTTCATACGAATTTGGCTAGAAAAATGTTTTTAAAATAACACACGTAATTTTAGTGCACACGTTTTTCAGGGCTAATGATTTCAACATTAAGCAAACAAACCGATGCCTGTATATTTAATTTAGGAGATGCCTTTTGACTACACCAACAATTAAGCTGCTTTGCACCACCAACACTTGCCTTTTAGCTACCATCAAGTCAAAGGCACTGTTTCGGAAATATTTCCATTTCTATTTTTTTCTCTGTGATAACTCTTTGAAAACGGAGTTGATTTCTCGATAATTCTACCAGGATATAAATTAGGCAGATCAATAGGTCAGGAGCTAAGGAGGTCTAATACGCATGCAAATCCCGTGCGCATCTGTCTCTGTGTCTGACGCTAAGGAGGAGGCCAAATATGCATGTAAATCTCGTGCGGCTGCCTTTGTGTTTGACGTCAGTAGGCGAGGACTATTGAAATTGACATGGGAGTCCTCGTGTAATTGAAATCTATGTCTACATTTTTTAAATCTAAATCTACAATTTTATTTCACAATAAAATGGAAATATGAGGAATCACTGTCTAATTAGTATAGTATGCCAGAGACATCAACGATAGTGGGAAACATGTGATAATTTATGCATAACGGGCTTCGCCCGTTAAATGCAAATTATCCCATGTTTCCACTATCGTTGATCCCCTGGCATGCTATACTAACTAGACAGTGATTCCTTAATTTAATGATCGAACCTAAAAGCAGGTGACACCTGCGTACCTTAGAACACTCTGATTATTAAAGATAACATTAATTTTGATGGTTTTAGCACTACCTTTTCAGGCTCCAGGGGGCAGGGGCCATGGATTTCACAATTTAAAACCCCCTCCCCCTTTTACTCAAAGATATTGTTCGGTGGTTCCAGAGAAGAAGCTAAACATGTTAACGCACTATGACGGACCAAATAGCTGCAGGCAACCCGAGTAAACTCATGTGAGTAACCTTATTTATAAAAAGGATGTCAAAATATTTGAAATTTCCAACACTATTTGACGACATCTGCATTCTAATTTCCAAGCGACCAAGCTATCCATTATGGCGGTAGACAAATTTCGCACCATCAATTTTAACTTGACTTTGTGTTGAAGCATATACATTTATAGTAATCCTATATAAATACTTGGACCAGTAGCACATTTTAGGAAAAGTAAGCGACAAGAATAAATCCAAGAACATGGCAAAGGTTACAAAAGATGGACGAACTTTGGGTAAGCTTACAGATGGCTGGAATCAGAGGTGATCAAGCTATACTTGTGAAGGAAATCTATGGATATTGGAGAATGGTGTACGACTTCAGCATTGGCCCATGTCTGTGCTTACTGCCTCCCCTGGCTACGGTCATTATGGCTATTGTCTTCAAACGGACCAAAGTCTTTGGAGTCACCCAGAAGTTTGTTCTCGCTATCAAGTCTCTAGACATGTGCTATACAACAATTTCGGCAATTCGTGACGGGTTAAAGATGTTAAACATGAATAATGGATATTTGGAATAAAGTTTAAACTTTTGCCATTTGTTTTAACGAATTTAATCTGCTTTTATAACAAGTTTTTGATTTTGTTATAACGAATTCAACAAATTTATTGTAAATAAAAAAATTAATTTAAAAATTTAGAAAAATTTGTTATAACGTCTGAAATTCGTATAATCAATGGGACACCACGAAACACATGTATTATAAAAGATGAGTTGGCTGTTCCAAAGTAATTATAAGAAGTGTTCAGGGAACCAGGTTTTTGTAGCAATGGAGTCAAAATTGCAATTAAAAAATCATTTCACGTCTAAGGGACCTTCCAGTCATACTTCAAAATGTTAATGTTCTGTTGCATAAAGAATTCAAGAAAATACCGGTATATTATGTAAAGAAGAAAAAAAGACTTTTTTGACCCCCCCCCCCCCCCCCCCCCCCCCCAATCGCCCAAGAGTGAATATCAAAGTTTCGAAACTTTAATTCACATCTATACAGGAAACGACTTATTATTTTACATATAATGAGTTTTTTAAATATACCTTTTCACAGTAGTGGAGTGCGCGTATATAGATCACGATTTGAATTTCGCGCCAATGACGTCATCATACTTTCGACCAATCAGAAGGCAGCATTTGAATTTTGGTCACGGGACCCTATAGGCGGGAATTTTTTTAAATCACCTATGCTTATGGGGGTCAAGGGTCCAACAAAGAGGTGTCCTAAAGGGTATTGTGTGACCTATCAAAGTAAAGGTCTGGACGAGGAGAGGTCATCCCGGGGGTGGTCCGGGGTCATTTAGTGCCAAATCAAAAATTTACTTAAAAGGTAGCGTGTGACATATCAAACGTAAGATCTCGACGAGAAGAGGTCAGCTCGGGGGTGTTCCGGGTCATCAAGTGCAAAATCAAAAGGTTACTAAAGGGTATCATGCGACATATCAAATAGAAGGTCTCGACGAGTAGAGCTCAGCCCGGGGGTGGTCCTGGGTCATCAAGTGCAAAATCGAAAAGTTACTCAAAAGGTATCGTGTGACCTATCAAATGGAAGGTCTGGAAGAGGAGAGGTCATCCCGGGGGTGGTCAGGGGTCATTAATTTCAAAATAAAAAAATACCTACAGGGTATCATGTGACCCATCAAATGGAAGGTCTCGACGAGAAGAGTTCAGCCCGGGGGTGTTCCGGGGTCATTGAGTGCAAAACAGTTACCTGAAGTGTTTAATGTGATATCTCAAATGAAAAGTCTTGACAAGTGGAGTTTAACTCGGGGGGTGTTCCTGGGGTCATCAGGTGCAAATTCCAAAAATAACCTCAAGGTAGCGTTTGACCTATCATATGGACGATTCCGGTTTTTTCCGGGCCATTAGGTGCAGTATTTAAGACTTTCCTAATAGTATAAATGCTCTGAACAATCGTGAATCTCTTCATTATCAAACAGAATGGCAATGACGCTAGTCCTTCGATCTTCGGAGGGCAAACACCTGTTCCCAAGCAACAAACCTTTTGATTTCACCGTCACGTTGCCAAAAACGTTGGTTTTTAAGGAACAGTGGACACTAGAATTAAGTGAATTTTATATCACAACCCCTGTCAAGACCACAAAGAAGGAGCTTTTCATCTACTGTGACGCATGCGACACTTCTGTGGTGGGTGAACAATACAGACCATTGCTGAGGCGTGTTGTTTTGGAATCCAACAAGAATCAAATCTTCACGAGACCGTACCCAGTTCTGATGCGAATCCAAGAGTTGAAAAAGATACGCCTGGAAATAAGAGATAAAGATTTTGAGCATGCCACCTTCTTGAATGGCGAGATTAGCCTGACTCTGATATTTCGACCCGCAGTCATGACCAGTTTCTCGGCCTAAAGCTATAAAAAGTGATTCAAGAATAAATTGGTCACATTTTAAGAGTGTCTGCGGAAGAGTCAACATGCATAAAGTCCAGTGTGACGATTGCCGAGGCTGGTTTTCCCGAAAGGATGTCTTAAAGCGGCATCAGCGAAGTGTACACGGAATGATGGAAATGCCCCATCACCACCATCGTCGCCACCGCAGGTGATCACACCGCCGCCGCCACCGCCGCCATTCAAGCCACCGCCGTCGCTCCTCAAGCCATCGCCGCCGCCGCCATTCAAGCCACCGCCGCCGCTGCAGATGATCACGCCGCCGCCGCCGCCGCCGCCGCAACTCAAGCCACCGCCGCCTCCATCAGCGACTCTTCCTTTACAGCAACGGCACCAGGACTTTGTCTTCAGGCATCCCTTTACTGCGAATATTTCGGGCCCCACGTGTTGTGGCAAGACGTATTTCTGTAAAATGCTCTTGCAACACTGCCTGAAAATAATATGGCCTCCTCCCGAGAGAATCATATGGCTCTACAAACGTTGGCAACCACTGTATGATGTCATTCAGAGTACCGTTTATCCCAAGGTCGAATTTATTCAAGGAATACCTTTGGATTTGGATCAAGATTCCTTTATACATCCCAGAACGAGGAATCTCGTTATTTTGGATGATCTGATGTCTACGGCATCCAAAGATTCCAGAATCAACGAATTGTTTACGGAGGGCAGTCATCACAGAAATATGTCCGTCATAGCCATCAATCAAAACCTATACTACAACAAAGATCCCACCCAGAGACGAAATTGCCATTACCTGGTCCTGTTTAACAATCCTGTGGACAGACAACAAGTTATGACCTTGGCTCGTCAGATGTATCCCGAAAATCCTCAACACCTGCTGAGACATTTTAAAGACGCTACTTCCAAACCTTATGGATACCTGTTAGTGGATTTGAATCCCACTACTCCCGAACATCTACGTATGCGCACTGACGTCTTGAATTCTATTAAACAGCACGAAGCAGAGAATTTCCATCATTCTTCAACAGATATTCCTACCGATCGGACGTACCACGTGTCTGTTCCTTCAACCTTCCAATCCATCGGGTCGGATTTTCAACACGTCACACCTACAGAAGATATGCCTTCCTGTGACGATTGTGGTCTGGTCTTTGAAAACGTCCACGACCTTCAAAGACATGTGAAAAGATGGTGTCCAGAAAACGGACAAGGGAAAGATGATATTGCCCCCATGGAGGTGGATGGATCAAATGCCTCAACTGTCGAACCAGAGAAGGAAAATGATGACGAACACAAAGTCTTTAACTTTCTGATGGAAAGGGCCAAAGAAGACAACGAAAAATTATGGGACCTGAAATATAATAAATACATAAAGGAAGGTCTATCACGAGAAGACGCTCGAGTTCAAACGGAGGAAAAAATGAACTCTAAAGACCTTAAGAAATTCTCTGAAAAGTATGGACAACTCATCCTGTACATCCTTCAGTTACAAAACGGATCCATTCACACAAAAGTCATGGATGATGTTAAAGATTTCCTGTCCGACGGCTATGACGAACGCAGAGCCATCAGAATGGCTTTGAATAAGAACCGTCCTGTCCTTGAAGAAATGTGGGATCCCGAGAGCGATATGGAGATCGACGATGCTTCCGAAAGCGAAGACCAAGTGGGAAAGGATGACGACAGCGAGATGGAAGAAGATAGTGATGAATCCTAAGAACTCTAAATAACATTTTGAGACTATTCCCAATTATTGTTTGAAGAATGAACTATCGATTGTATACTGTTGCATTTACTTGAATAAACAGTGAAAAAAGCATTGTTGTTTTTTATGACATTATAGGTCACGTGCTTAGGTATTAAATAAGGAGTGGAAATACATTAAAGCTTCATTTTAACGCTGTCCATGCCAGAAGAAACATGTCTTGGGAGGATTATCTCAAGCAAGTGTATTACGATCCATCCACAGCTGGTAGTTTTACCGGAGTGGATAAATTATTCAGATACGTTCAAAAAGAGGGAAAATATGATATCAGCAAGTACAAGGTATGCAAATGGTTACAGAGACAGGAACCCTACAGTCTCCAGCGACCCGTGAGACGACATTATCGTCGCAATCAGGTCGTCGTCGCTGGCCTTGATGATCAATGGGACGCTGATCTCATGGACATGACCAAATTCAGCAAAGAAAATGAGGGTGTGCAGTTCGTACTCTTGGTCATCGATATCTTCTCCAAGTACCTGTGGATGCGACCTTTAAAGGATAAGAAAGGGCCAACGACAGCCCGGGCGTTCGAAGACGTATTGCGTGAAGGGAGGCAACCTAAGAAGCTTCGCACGGACAAAGGACAAGAATTCCGATCAAAAGCCTTCAATAATGTATTAAAGGATCACAACATAGAACATTTTTATTCTCAAAACACCGAAGTGAAAGCCAACTATGCAGAGAGAGCCATCAAGACGATTAAAACTAAGATGTATCGTTACATGACATTCAAACAATCCCAACGATACATTGATCGTCTTCAGGAATTCGCTCGGAGTTACAACAAGACGTACCACCGCACCATTGACACTGAACCAGAACTGGTTAGACCAAACAACGAAGAAGAAGTGCGCGTATCAACATTCCTGTCTCGAGAGGAGATCCCTCGCAAGCAATCAAAGCGGCCCTACAAGTACAAAGTGGGTGATAAAGTGCGCATTTCTAAAATATCATCCATTTTCGACAGGGAATACGATCAAAAGTGGTCTGGTGAAATTTTCATCGTGTTTCAACGTTTCCTGAGGAACGGCATTCCAGTGTACAAACTCAAAGACTACAATGACGAAGCCATTACGGGGACATTCTATCAACCGGAACTCCAAAAAGTGGATGTTAGAGACGAGGATACGTTTAAGATTGAAAAGATCCTCAAGACCCGTGGAAGAGGACCAAACAAGCAATATTTTGTGAAATGGCTGCATTGGCCAAAGAAGTTTAATTCTTGGATAAATGCTGATGATATGGCTACATAATGCAGTGCAATTATCATTGCTTGTCTTGAAATTATATGTATTCAGACTTATGTCGAAAATATTGCTCTTCATGTCTTGCAATAAAATATGAACAAAAACAATATATGTGTTGTTTTGATCAACCCCTGACTGATCTTTACTCGACCTTCCATTTGATATCTATTTTTTATTTGCACTTGATATGCCCGATAGACCCCTGGACTGAACATAACTCGTCAAGACCTTCCATTTGATATGTCACAATATACCCTTTGGGTAATCTTTTGATTTTGCACTTGATGACCACAGATCACCCGCGGGCTAAGCACTTCGCGTTGAGACCTTCCATTTGATATGTCACACGCTACCCTTTGGGTAATTTTTCATTTTGCACTTAATGACCCCTGACCACCCCCGGGCTGACCTCTCCTCGTCCAGACCTTCCATTTGATATGTCACATGATACCTTTTGGGAAACCTTTTGCTTTTGCACTCGATGACCCCGGAGCAACCCCGGGACGACCTCTCCTCGTCGAGATCTTCCATTTGATAGGTCACACGATAGCTTTTAAGTAACTTTTTGATTTGCATTTAATGACCCCGGACCACCCCAGGGATGAAACATATGTGATTTGAAAATCTGGTTTTCCCGTCTATAGGGTCACGTGACCAAAATTCAAATGCTGTCTTCTGATTGGTTGAAAGTTTGATGACGTCATTGGCGCGAAATTTGAATCGTGATCTATATACGCGCACTCCACTACTTTTCACCACAAATATCCCTCCGTCCCCCGATGAAAATCGAAATTACAAACCGTTTTAAACATGTTTACACTTCCATTCAAATCGAGATTCGAACACTTCGAAAATTGTTAAGGATTTCAGGGAACCAAGTTTTGGGAGGAATTGTATTGTTCATCATAAATATACACTTAGAATGCCCATACGCAGACAAGGGGAACAACAAATGCATTTCGACTATATAATCAGTAATTAATATTAATTAATAATCAGTAGTGCTCCCACTCCACCGCACATTTCACATTCGGCCAACATTGGTCAACTGCAAAGAAAATATTGGCGAGTTCAAAATCACAGGCGTCTGATCGAAGTGTGGATCGATACACCCCATCTTTAATTAAAAAACTGCAAGAGCGTATAAAATCTCAACAACATTTTTAAAATATCTCCGTCAATATTATCTTTATGTTGTTCTATATGCAGGCAATTTGTACTTTTCTGATATATAGAGAATAGCGCCTTATGTCAACTGCAAAGGAAATAGTGGAAAATTCAACAGTGGTTAAAAAAATCAATAAATAAATAACTAAAATAAACAAATAAAACATATAAATGAATAACAGAAGATAATTTAAAGATTTTCTTGAAGTTATCCGGAAATTCAATTGCATATCGGTTAAACTTCGGCATTTAATATTTATTCATCCTTGTTTACATCGAACACAAGTTGTTTTTATATGATTTTGTAAACAGTAGGCCTAAAGAAATACAGCATAAGCCAACAGGTGCGATAAATTAAGGTATGTAAACTGGTACAACTTTATAAACATCACATTCTCAGACCAAAAGTTTGAACTATAAGATTTACTCGAACTCGACGAGTGAAACATGTAGGCCTTCAGTCGTGCTAACAAAATTCATAAATATGCTATAATTAATACAAAATTCGTAAATATGCTATAATTAATTATTATAGTAGTCTGTTCATAATGATTTTCATCTGTTTTTTTTAATATGTGCCTGAATAAACGTTAAAAAATTAAAGTCAAAGATTAGTTGTAATTAAGTCATTCAAAAGCTGTTCAACTTCAAAATTTCATTTAACATGTACAAAGTTCATCTAGGCCTAATATATACTATACTATGAGGCGCCGTTTTAATATTTTTGAGGTATTTTCTGATATCAAAAAAGAAATTATTGATATCAATAATTCGAATTCTTGATATCAAAAAATATTTTTTGATATCAAAAAATAATTCTTGATATCAAAAAATAGATTTTTTGATATCAGAAAATGATTTTCTGAAATCAAAAATTCGAATTCTTGATATCAAAAAATCTTGTTTATTTTCTGATATCAATAATTCAATTTTTTGATATCAAAAAATCATTTTCTGATATCAAAAAAGAAAGAAGAATTTTTGATATCAAAAATTCGATTTTTTGATATCAGAAAATAAACAAGATTTTTTTATATCAAAAAATAGAATTTCTGATATCAGAAAATCGTTTTCTGATATCAAGAATTCGAATTTTTTATATCAGAAAATGATTTTTTGATATCAAAAAATTAGTATTTTCTGATATCACAAAATCGATTTTTTTGATATCAGAAAATAAGAACCAAGTAAAATTACAATCGATTTAATGAATGATCCCCGTTATGAACTTTCAGCTTCCTGCCACACAAATTAACTTTGTTGGGTTCTAACAAGTTAAGGGCATGTTTGGATATGTTAGGATGCCGTTGTCTTTTGTTCATGCTTCCCATACCTGTCTTGTTATAAGGATGCCGTCGTTCTTTTGCACTATTGACTATATTTTAAGCATTTATTGTGCACACACAACTTAAGCACCAACTTTAGGGATAACTCCGACTTCACCTTGAAGACCACACAACGAGTACTTGCTGGTCAGCTGTGATGTTACATCACTTTACTTATTGACAAATATGCAATTGGAAAAGCTAATGGCTGCTGTTGATAGGTGTAACAGAGAAATCCTCAATCTAAGTCCGACCTACAGCACATCTAGATTGTTGCCGATAAACAACGATTTTTTTTTTGTTTTACATTTTAATGTCTGGACATGTGGTTTACGAATACACAACGTTTTCTAAACATTTGCTGTAGCTCGAACCAGATCCCCAAACAATGATAATTTTTACAAAGAACATGGATTATTTACTCGGATTTATCCCAAAAACTAAAAAGTAATATATCTGAATTCCCTGCAAATAAATATGACCAAAAATATCAAAAACACTTATTAAATTCCATTAAAAAAATATTATTAAAAATCTGATTTAAATTAACAAATTTTAGTAGAAAGCAAATCTGGCACTTTTTACAGATCAAGGGAGTATTTATTATTTATGTGAAGATTCTTCATCATTTTATTTTATTTTCTGATATCAAAAAATATATTTTGTGATATCAAGAAATCAATTTGAATTTCTAATATCAAAAAATCATTTTCTGATATCAGAAAAATCGATTTTTTGATATCAGAAAATAATTTCTTGATATCAGAAATTCGAATTTTTGATATCAGAAAATGACTTAGATTTTTTGATATCAAGAATTCGAATTTTTGATATCAAAAATTACATTTTTTGATATCATAAAATCCCGAAGATTTTTTGATATCAGAAAATGATTTCTTGGTATCAGAAATTCGAATTCTTGATATCAAAAAATGATTTTCTGATATTAAAAATTCGAATTTTTGATATCAAAAAATCTTGTTTATTTTTTGATATCAGAAAATGATTTTTTGATATCAAAAAATCGAATTTCTGATATCAGAAAATGATTTTTTGATATCAGAAAATACATTAAAAATATTAAAATGGCGCCCCATACTATACAAAGATTGAGTTTGAGGGCAACATGCGTTTTGTCGGACCCAAGAACCAAACTGTTTGCCCATGGACCTATATACTAACAGTTAGTAGATAGGCCCCCTAGTTTGCCTGAGGCCGTTAGGCGGAAGGCAGACAGTTAAATTTGGTTCGAGGGTCCGTGTATAAATATTTTTTTTCTTATAAACTCTTGATTTTTTTTATTTTTTGACTCACATGATCCTGTACTGTTTTCTGTGATGTAAACCTCAGGGCAGGTAGGTCACTGTTAACCATCGACGAATGAAAATGAGATTAAGCTCCGTCCATTGTGTGACGTAAGCGGTGCAGGTCCAACATCTCAGTCAGCGGTCAAACATCGAATTTTTTTGTAGAAATATAGGAAATTTTTTTTTAAAGGTATAACAAATTGTATAATTTCATTTATACACCTGATAATATATTATGTTTACATGGAGAATATTTGGGCCCAACTAAGATAGTGATAGACCTAAAGCTAAAATATTCTTCAGATATAAAGTTCATAGCCTTCTAGCTTCCTTATTTGCAAGTAATAACGTTATATATCTTAATTATTCTACAAAAACTTAATTCGATGTTCTTTGTACATTAGGTTTATTTTAATAAATGATTGCCAATTTCCCTATCTAGGCTAATATCGTTTGTTTTTCCTTTTCATTTCCTGTGCATATTTTAGGCCCCTAGGCTAGATCAGGGACCTACCCCGGTACAGTACTGTATATACTAACCGGCCTATCGAAAGGTTCCTGGCTAGATCAAACTTGCATGTAAACATTCATGATATAATTTCATACCTAGAATCATAAATGTTGTTAGTTTGGTATGTAAACATTTCTAGGTATTATCCTAGACCTGAAATAGACCCCTTTACTTAGATCTATGATATTAGAAAACCCAACAGTTCAGTTCAGTTCAGTTGTGGATTTCCCTCCTATGTATAAGGAGCACCCGAGAAGGTTGTTTCATAAAAGGCATAAAAATTAAAAATAAAAGAGATAAAGTGAGGAAAAGACAGTTAGTAAAATCTATTCTATGTAGTGCTGTAAAATAAAGTTAGAGGTGAAAGACCAACTAAAAATAAAACAAGAATTTACATACTATACAGTAGCTTAACTCCTAAAGTAAAATTGTTTCGGCCCTAAAAGTTCTTAAAAAAAAAAAAAAAAAAAAAAGAACTTTACACCGTTTCCATGACTGTTTCTAATTAAAAAAATTTTTTTTAACTCTAAAAATAATTTTATATTCCTCTTTGCCAAAAAAAAGGAAAAATATTAAGGTCTGTTGGTTGTAGACTGTGTACTAATTTTTTTAATAATTTGAGCTCTATGGCAATGTAGAGCAAATACCATGTTGCGGCTCAGGTTCTCAATAAATATCTGAATTTTGTTGTTTCTGGATGGAATCTCTGAAAATGTGAAGAAGGAGGGGTCGATAATAATCTGTAGCAATCTAGTGTCCTCCAATAAGTATGAATTTGTTGGTTAAATTTATTAATATTGTCCTGTAAGCGGTAGGTATTTGTTGCGAGTTGAGCTTTGACAATGGCCTTATTTGATGCCTTCGGTGAAAACGTACTTGACTGCCACAATGGATGAGGTCGTCTGCATGAGTTGGTCTGTAATTTCAGATGTTGTAGGGAAACTTTTTCTGAGATTTCAATTTCATTTTTGATTTGCCAGTAGTCAGATATTTGCTTCTTTACTTTCTGTTTCCAGTGTTTTGCCTCTTCATTGCTTTTTATATTTCTTAACAGGTATAATGGGTGGAAGATCGTATTTTTCCAGGGTACTTTTTGCTCTAATAAACCAACTGGCACTGTTATCAGATTTTGTCAATAACTGTCGTACTGCCATTTGGTGCTCTATTGTTGCAGGATCTTTAGCAATATTCAAAAATGTTGTGATAATTCTAGCATCAAACCTCTATCGTTTTGGCTCCAATAAGGGATAGAGTTGCAATTGATGCAGTCCTGTCAGGGAGACTTTGAAGTTGTTTCAGTACCTTTCTTTGATATTTTTCAAGTTTCTCTAAGTCAAATTTCCTTATGTTTAAGAGCTCAATTCCATGTAATAATCTAGGTATAACGAATGTAGTCCACATATTTAGAGTAATAACAGGAGATAGACCATTTTTTCCATGCATTCCACTTCCAAGTAGAGCGTATAATGTTCGTCGGGCAGTTTCTATTCGCTGACTGACATCAAGTATTTGTTGAATTTCTTTCAATGCCTAGGTGTTTTAGGGAAGATACATGATTGATAGTTTCATTCCCCAACTTCACTTCAATTTCTTGCTGATATTTTTTCTGATGAGTCTTAAACGTTAGGATTTTACATTTTGCTGAATTTATAGTAAATCTATCTTTATTTGAAGCAGTATTCACTAAATTTGTCAAAATCTGCGCATCTCTTTGGTTTTTTGTTAATAGGGCAATGTCATCCGCGCATGTTGGCGCGGTGATGTCAAGAGTTCCAATCTTTACTCCCTCAGGTACAGTCTGTAGTGCATTTAGGAGGTCATTGTTGAATCTTTTATACATTAAGGTAGATAATTTAGCTCCTTGCCTTATACCTTGTTCTAGTTTTATTTCCTGTGATAGATTTTCATTCCATTTCACTATTGTATGTGCATCTGTGTGTAGAGATTTCACCAAGTTCCAAAGGTCGCCTTCAATGCCATCTTTATATAGTTTACATAGTAAATTTTCGTGCCACACTACATCAAATATCGAAAGTCTGCAGGATTAATTGTTCTTTATTGTCCTTTGCGTCGCAGAAGGCTTCAGAGATTATCAGTGGGGAGGTTCCGGATGTGAACCCTCTTTGAAGGGCATTTTGTGATGGATCTAAAATAGGTTCCAGTTGGTCTCTCAAGCATGTTTCTACCTTTCCATTAGAGGTGTCACTGTTATTCCTTGTAGTTTCCCGGCTTTGTCTTATCTTTTCCCTTTTTAAGAATTGGTGTCAGAATGCCCGTTTTTAGTCCTTCGGTACCTCAGCTGTATGCAGTATGGCATTAATAATGTCAGTAAGCATTGGGGATATCTGGTCAATGCCCATCTTAAGGTGTTCTGCTGTAAGGCCTGTTGCATCGGGCGCTTTGCTGTTTTTAAGGTTCTTAATAATATCTCTAATTTTTTCCTCAGATATCTTTTCGGTTGGAGATTTATTGGCTTTACATATATTTTCAATAATAAGTAGATTATGGCCTATTGTCTGTTTATAGTCCTCATCGAAGGATTCCTTTTCCTTTGGTTTTGCTAAATCTTCAACATGGAACTGCCATCCTGTAATTATGTTGTCATATTCATGGTACGCTTCTCCCTCCACAATGATATGATCAGTTTTATCTGTTGGTTTGTTTCTCTGCTTATTGACTAGTTTAAAAAATAACTTTTGGTCTTTATTGATGTTTGCTTCTGTTATCTTGCTGTATAAACCCTTTCGAGGGCCGATTCTTGCCTCTGAATTTTACGGAAGGTCCGTTTAGCATTTTTCCTTAGTAAATTGAGGGGATGATTATGGTCTTGCGGTCTTCCTGCATCTTTCCACCGCTTGTGGGCAATCTTTGATTCCTTACTTGCCATAGCAACATTCACGGACCATCTGACTTTTGTTTTGTAGCATTTTTTCTTTTTAGATGTTTTAAAAGCCTTCTTCTCTGCCTGTATGATGTTACTAGTCAGTGTATTTATAGCTTCTGTAATATCAAAGTATGATTCTAATTTGTTGTTGTTATGTGGGATTCTCCTTGATAATTCCGATTTGTAAGCTTCTATATCACATTTTTCCCAGTTTCTTTTTGGTTTTCTGTTGTTGATCTTTTGGCAGTCTATTGTATCTCCACGTATGTTAGCGGCAATGGGAAGTTTGGCAAAGACCAGTTTGTGATCTGATAAATTTGCATGATCGTCACTTCGTATTTTGATTTCGTTTATCCTGTTTTGGTTATCCACTGCAAGTATGTAGTCTAGCGTTGCGGAGTCTTTTCCATTGTGATGGTAAAATGTCGCTTGGTTTGGGTAATCATTTCTCAACTGAATGCTGTGTGTATCACAAAATTGCCTAAATTGCTTATCTTGTTTGTTTGGATCAGTCCTGTGTAGTGAGGCATTCATATCCCCTACAAGTATGATATCATGCTTTTGATCGAATTTATAGATGATCTCAGCCAATTCTGCCAATACTTCCTCATAGTCGTCGTCACTTTTACTGTTCCTTGATGGCATGTATACATTGATTAAGGCCCAACTGGTTCTGTATCGGAGAGTGCATTGCACGAGTCTGCCCCAATTTCGTAACTACGATACAGAAAACGCTGCTGAGTTCTCTAAATGAATAGTGACACGATTAATCAAAAAGCGAAATAATTTTGTGTGAAACAGTCTCAAACTTTGAAGGATAAATAGATTTATATGATTTTTATTTATCTAAACAAATAGTTATTATATATATATAGATTTAAATTTATAATAAAATACACATTTGGAATAAAAAAGTCAGCTGTATTCTGTATTGAGAAGTTGATGGATCGTTGGGGAAGGATTAAAACATACAGGTCAGCGGATGAGTAAAATTAGACGTAATCCAATTTCACAAAGAAAGAAAAACACCACACTGTCCTGTGTAAATCACATGTAGGTTAAACTGTTGTTAAAGTAGTTACAATTTGCGTGAGTTCGAATCTCAGACTTGACTGACTTAAGTCGATAAAAAATAGGTAGCAGCTGTTCCTTCCCCAGGCGCTCGACACTTTGAAAGTTGTGGGATCGTAAAAAACTGAGGCCCCGTTTCACTGCAGGTGTTGGCACGATAAAAGTCCCCTCATTGCTCAATTTCCCTGAGTGCCAGTATATATAGGTCAAAAGAAGTTAGCGCCTATCCTTCCTCAGTCATCCCCTCACCAAACCCTCTACCCCACCCCCAAGAAATAGGATTTTTGAAAAAGTTGTCATTTAATTCGGTTTGCAAGTATCGCGGACGATGAACCCAAGAATGCCGCCTCCGATTTCAGGCGGCGAATGCCAAGTTTTCGTAATGACGCCGGTTCTGACAAAGTCCTGGCACGTAGAATATCGAAATCAAAAGCCCGGAAAACGTCAGATGTTTCGGATTAGGATTTTATTTTTTGGTTGTATGATGATGATCAAGCAATTGGTTTGCTTGATAATGATAATTTATCACGCAAGCCAATTGCTTGATGGCATCATAATACCAAACAATTTGACATTTATTCCTTAATATGAATAAATTTAGTTAAAGGTAAACACATTCCAAGTAACAATGTTTTTTTGTATTTTCTACAGAGTTACAGCTTACAGAGATGCCGGAGGATTCAGAGATGCGACCAATCTCCATATGGTGGCGGTTTTACGTTTACGCCATCCACGGTTACGTCACAGAAATTATGTTTACCGCCCTCTGGGAATTCGTGGTCAATTTGAACTGGAAGTTCCCGGGAAATACCAGTGTCTGGGTGCTGTTGATATACGGCCTGTCTGGTCTGGTGTTGGAACGGATGTACTTCCGGTTGAGAGATCAAGTTCCACTGCTTGTTCGAATTCTTATTTATACCATATGGACTTATCTATGGGAGTTTTCCACGGGATTTGTCCTCAAGCAATTTGGTGCTTGTCCATGGGACTACACACCCTTTCATGGCGATTTTATGGGCATTATAACACTGGAATATGCTCCACTCTGGTTTCTGGGAAATATAATAGCAGAGTTAATAGTCATGAAGTACACATTGTGTCTATATTGGGGACCAGAGTTAAATCTACAATCGACCAGTGTATCGTCCAGTATACGAAAGAATGAATAATAGTTAATGTTATTTTACTGTGTTCAGTATGTTACAGTTATGCTTTTATATAATACTCCGTTATGTACATTTATGTAGTGTTTTTTTTTGTTCTATTGCAAGTTTTAATTGTTCTTGTTAAGTATTTTGTCTACCATGACATTCCAGTATTTCGTCTTTTATACATTAATATCGGTTTTTGAGATTGGAAATAAACTACTTACTAATGAGTGTTTATCAGTAATAATCTGATCATTTTTAGGCCAAACATTTCGTTATTCAATCGTAAAAAAGGCCTGGAAGGCGTAAGATATTTCGGTTTTTCATGCTCTTGTGTATTGAATTAGTTGGGAGACAAATACAAGCACCATATGCAAGGATATTTGGAAATTGCTGTATAAAGAAAGGAAGTTGACAGTGAAAAATGAAATGACAATGGAAAAAGCATTTAGACGCCAACTTGTTTGTCATGCTGTAGTTTTCAGTTTGCGTCATTATCGTCCACAGTTGAGTAAAACATTCAAATGTGAAATGTTTATGGCAGACCGACTCTTGCTTCGATTTCAGTGAAATATATTGAGTCATCGTCTGAGGCCACCATCTGGAGTAGAATACAAAAAAAATACTAAAACAAACAAACGGGGCGGGACACTTTCAGAGGGGAGAGAGGCCCTATGGAGTTCTGGTGTAAAATTTCATTGCAAAATCTTCTTGAAATATCGCCCGGAAACGAGAGTGTTACACATAGACAGAATGAATAAATTTACGACCTTCAACTTTGACCTTTTGATCTTAAAATCTATAGGGGTCTTCCATAGACCACAGGGAGTTTTTATGGTAAATTTCATTGCAAAACCTCCAAGGATTCTCGAGATATCGCGCGGAAACGAAAGTGTTATAACAGACAGAATTTATGAACTTATGACCTTGACCTTTTGACCTCAAAATCAAAAGGGTTCTTTTTTATGCCCTAGGGAGTTGCTATGCAAAATTTCATTGCGAAAGCTCAAAGGGTTCTCGAGATATCATGCGGAAACGAAAGCGTTACAGAAAGACGGATGGACTGACAGTCGGACGGACCCAAATTAATATTCCCCACTTTCAGTGAAAGCGGGGGACAACTATATCAATTTTTACATGTAAGTAATCCAGTGATACTGTTCATGCCACCAAGGAAAAATTGTATCGTCAACTCCTTTTATGTCGCCCGCTTGAAGCATTGGTCAAAGCGTCTGCTCTAGAGTCGCGAAGTGAAGTAGGGAGTTGATCCTAGCTTACGTCGCGGATTCAAATCCCACTGTGGGACGTGAAGATTGGTTCTTCGAATGAGACCGTATAAACCAATGTCTCGTGTCTCAATAGGTGCTGGCACGAAAAAGATCCCACCCTACTCAATGGCCATAGGGCTGAGTATAGGACAAATTTTGCAGCTCTCCATCGGCAATCGGTGACGTCTCCATATGAGTGAAAAATTCTCGAGAGGGACGTTAAACAACAGTCAATCAATCCTTGACCAGAAACGTTGCAGTTTGTTTTTTAATTACTTCGATTGTATTTGGAATTATACAAAACTTCTTGTTCGTGTCAATACAATAAATGTTAAAAGATGGTTTCTAAATTGGAATCAGATTTTGTCAACTTGCTGAATCAAGAGGCTCGGTGGCCACAAGGCTTACCTGAGTAACTCTAGGTGATTTTTGAAAGATTTTTATGCTCCGTAATTTTTAAGATTTACGTGTATATAGTTTTCCTCTGTCTGTATCTGTATTTCTGCAAAAAACTTAAACTTGGCTTATAACTTTTAATGGCTTGGAGCTATGGCTTTGATATTTTTTATGTGCATTCCTTGTGACAAGAAATGTACCAACGTATTTGAACTATTTAACCTATAGTTTGACCCACTTTTGCAAAATAGCAAATATTGGCCGTAGCCTTTGAAAAGTATGAGCTAGAGTCTTGTATAAGGACAAAACTTATGACTGAGGCAAAATTGTTATTTTGCGAATAATTTTCTATATCATCTTTTTCTTAAAAGAGTTTAAGGAAAAAATTCTGCTCATAGTAAATACATACTAGCTACGACCAAATTTTCTTTCAGACAGCATAGAATACTAGTAGTTAAATTGCTTTTCTCTGTTATGTCTTTTAGTCAAAATCTGACTAAGAAAGGACAAGCTAGGGTAAGACCCATTTTTGGCCCCCGATTTTGGGTATTCTTCAGAATGATGCAATAGTTTATCAATAAAAAACCTGTTGTCATCCCTGTCACAAAATTAGTATTGGTTTTAAGTTTTGGAAACAGAGCTCACAGAGAGGTCAGAAAATAGGTCAGTTTTCGAAATTTCTCATTTTTATGCAAATTTTCATTGATTTTACAGCACATTTTGTTTTGGAAAACATAGAGAACAAGCTTGCCTATCTACAAAATTTTTATATTTTATACACTAATATCAGATGCAGTTTACGTGTAAAAATTTCAGATAGGCAAGCTTGTTCTCTATGTTTTCCGAAGAGAAAGGCATCTCAAATATAATGAAATTCCACCAAAATTCAGGAAATTTGGGAAATATGTCCTACTTCTGCACTCTTTAGTGTCCTCCATGTAAGCTTTGAATCCAAATGAGTGCTGGTTTTAAAGGAAGCATCATTTTTAAGTTCTTAACTACAAACTATCACACTTTTACCAGTGTTCTGATTTTTACATCAAATAAGGGGCCAAATTCTGCAACTACCCTACCCTGTCCTTTGATTGTGTAAAATACTAAAATAAACTAGCGCCTACTTACGCAAAAATATTTGAACTTTAGAAGAAAAAAAGATTTGTAAATTTGTGTTATTGGTCCTTAAAGATATGTATGCCGTGTTAAACAGTATTTTTCCACAGCTGAAACCGAACAAAAATTTCTGAAGTATGATAAGCTATCAAAAATGAAGCATTCTTGCTAATTCGACGAAATATTATTCGGTATTAACAAAGTACTGGTCAGGAAAAGAACACGATATTCTCATGCATATTTATAAAGGACTGACGTTTATCCTGGATCTGCGCATGTGCGCGGGAAAAGCATCACGAGAATCATCAGGTCGAGGAAAATATTTTTTGTGACGTCTGTTCAGTGAGGAACACAAATCCACCAATCAGCTCAATGAGTTGCATTTAATGCATTTATGGGTTACTACATAAAATACTATTGTGTAAAATAATACTGTGTTATTCGAAAAGGCTAGTTTTTCAAAATTGCTCTCGGAAAGACTTGATGCATTTTCTCAAGCATTTACACGCTTAATGCATTATGTACATTATTATCTACTAATCCCATGTTCATATTTGCATACAAATGATTAACAATGATAAAAATTGAAGTTTTCCCCACTCCATTATACAGGTCCTTTTGTTTAGAGTTTCCCCGTGTTGTACTGCTAGTGGACATTTTCGGTTAGGTGAGCATTTACAAAATAGCGACTACGGATCTTCAGTATGGAGCGCATTATGGGCAAATATATTTTAAGTCATATATAAATGTAGATGAAATTTACATACCATACAATCTTTCCTTCTTAGAAAATATAGTTGGGCTATAATTAAATAAAATTGGGCCAGGAATTCCAGGCCCCTAAAAACTATTCCAGTTTGAGGGCACAACCAAGCTTTTCGGTGAACACCATTAAGAAAAATTAATTCAGGTAGGTAGCATCGTGTTTTTAAAGTGGGCGGGGGGATAGAACAGTTAGAATAAAAATCGACTAACTCGAAGAAACCTGACAAGTAAAATAGGTTCCAATATCTTTCACTACTAAATTTTATTCATCCACTACAACATTACCCTATCTAACTATACTGCAACAAAAATTGGGAGGGGGGGGGGCAACCGGGCAAATGTTCAATGAACATTTTCAGCAGTAATTTTTTTTACACTTGGGGAACAGGTCCCTTAGCCCACTGATGCTACGTGTATGTTCCTTCACAGGCTAAAAAAGCTCATCAGATGTACTTATGTGGGGGGGTGGGGGAGTTCCATAAAGTAGCTTTTTCTGTAGTTAAATATATATTGAATGATTACTAGTATATATAAGGAGGGGGCGCCACTGCCCTCGTTTAAAACCATGAATTTCAGATGTCATTCTTAACAATTCATTCCTAAAATCTCGAAAGTTTTATGGAATGCGTTCCCAGTATTTCATTTGTCAGAGAAAAGCTTACTCCAGCTTTCAGCATCACACGTGTTATTTACTCGTAAGTTTTAAAACCTACATATCGATCATGTACTGATTTCAAACTTATAATTCAGAATTTGAAGCCAGGATTTATAATCACAGATTATTTAGAGCCAAACTCCAAATTTCACTTTCGAATTTGCCCAAGCCAATGCTGATAACCTACTTGCAAGATTTTTTGTATTATTTTAAGGGGTCAGAAATAATGTGGTTCATATGTAAAGAATATATTTATATTAATTAGTAGTATTCTGGTTTTGGCATTTGGTATTTTGTGCAGATGTAAACATGATATTCTGTGGAATACTTTTTTTTTGTTTTGAACCATTAAAAAATGCAGAATCTATCTAATAACCATTTTGATTGATCAGTACTAGTATATCATTTGTTTGTATTAGTTATTTCATTTTGGCACAACATGGTTTCCACACTTCTTTATCCATAGTTGCTGACAGCTGTTGAAGTTCACCCAACCGAAAATGTCCAGTGAAAAGACAATTGCACACGATTATTCCTTGGTACAAAAAGCAACCAACTCTGAGGTGTGCTCACGTATTGACAATCCCTAACTCACGTGTTTGTAGTAAAAACGTAGTAGACCATCATGCTTTTCGGTTCATTCACGAGACTGGACCATTGTTTGCTTTGAGCATGTGAGACCACGTGATCATGAATATTTCAATTAGAGGCGGTTTATTATCCGATTCGGAGAGAAAATAATTTTTACCAAATAATATTTCATAACTTTTAAAAGTGATGGAGTGGAATTGTCTTATTTGCAGAAAGTATATAACTTATGTAACTTGATGAGACACCACATATATTTATTCCTATTAAAATAAAACACTAATACGGCATATATAGCTTTAAGGGGGATGTACAAGCCATATTGGATCTAGTCTGGTGTAAAATAAGAAATACCAGGAATACGCTTAATACTGTACTAAACTAGCCCAATGTTACTCAAAGTGCTAATGCACTTATTACCTACTGTTAGAGACCAAAATTATTAAAC